GAGACAGAGACAGACAGACAGACAGACAGACAGACAGACAGACAGACAGACAGACAGATAGACAGAGGGAGAGAGTGGCCTGGGATGATGGGGACTTTTAAAGAGTATGAGTTTGAATTTGGTGACTGGTAATGACATGGCTACTGGTGCAGAGTCGCTGAAGGCATCTGGGAGAGCGCCTGGTATCTAACACAGTTAAGGAAATGGGCAAGAGGAGGAGGTTACTACAAAATGAAACGCAGCAAAGATCTTTTTGATACAGCTGCTCCCACCCATTACTGCCATAAGAGAAATCTTAAAGCCAAGGAATTTAAACCCTGAAAGAAGGTGTTGTGTGTCCAGGACTAGGGTTTTCAACAGTCAGAGCAGCGGTGGTCCACCTGACGGGCATGCCAGAATCGAGGGATGTTTGGTAGGATGATGTGTGTCGTTTGGGAAGTCCCGGAGGAGATTCTATTCGGTTGGGAATCACAGGAGTACGCAGGAGAAACAATTAAATACCCTTCATGTCTGAGCTGCAGAGATTGAGACGTCTGCGTCATTTTGTGGGGGTGGAAGTGAAGCCACAGTAACACGAAAAAGGACGCCCTCTCCTTTCATACCTGACTACCCCTGATCTTGGTGGCATTGGCCATCAGGAAAAAAAAATGTCAAAAGATCGCAAAAGTGTGGTTGCTTCCACAGCTAGAATTTTCATGGGACCTGGAAAATCTGTTAGTAAACTCTGGAACAAGGAAGTCACTGTGATTCACGGAGGCCGTCCCAGAAGCAAAGGAGAAGTGTGTGTGGGTTAGTGCCAACAGTTGTGTGTCACCTCATTGCAGCCACACGTGTAGACATGGCACGGCAGACACCAGTGAAGGGGGATTAATCTGAGGACATGGGCTTGCACTAGTTTTCATTTCCTATTTCTCAGCGATGGCCACATGTAAAAGAGGACACCCGCTCGGCATTTACAGCTGTAGGGTCTTGAGGGCTGTTGTGGATAGTAAATAGTAAACATTGGTTGGTAAAAGGTTGCACTTTAAGGAGACTATTCTCAAGAAAATGAGGAAGATTTAGTAAGTTGGTCAAGCGGAATGTCTCTTCTGCCATTATGTGGAGATTCAACTGTTGTGGATGGGGTGGGTGACCCAGCTGAGGAGAGAGTGCTGCCTGTGTATAGTAGGGTGTGACTGAGGACCTGAGGACACAGTTCTACACGGGAATCAGGGTCTGACGTGGAAGGTTCTCCATCTCTCCAGGTGGTCTAGAGATAAAGTAGAGAGGATGCCTTAAAGTTTTTACACCCCTAGGAAGAACAGCAGAGTACTGACATTGATATTCTGAAAATTAAACAACAACAACAACAAAAAAAACCCATCAGTGTTCCACAGAGAGTTCAGGGAAAAAGTCCAGACTGCTGTACAGTTGTGGGTACAAAGTGGGTTTTATTTATTCATTCATTTATTCGTTCGTTCGTTCATTTGTTCATGTATTATGTATGTATGTATGTATGTATGTATGTATGGTTCGTTTGTTCATTTGTTCATGTATTATGTATGTATGTATGTATGTATGTATGTATGTATACAGGGTTCTACTTCATGTATGCCTGCACACCAGAAGAGGGCACCAGATCTCATTATAGATGGTTGTGAGCCACTATGTAGGTGCTGGGAATTGAACTCAGGGCCCTAGAAGAGCAGCCAGTGCTCTTAAACTCTGAGTCATTTCTCCACCCCTAACTAAGTGGGTTTTAAATATCTAATCCTTCTTATTTTTCCATTTTAAGAAAAACCAATTACATTTGCATTAGAACTTTGAACAATAGTTAAAAATGCATGTTTGAAACCAGTGAAAGCATGCCAATAGGCTATGGCCACTATGAAGCTGAGCCCGGGATCCTGCTGGTGAACATCACAGCAGGAAAGAATGGTTTGAAATCATTAAGGCAAACTGGTGCAACTCACATTTGCTGGTTTCTGCTTCTCAAGACTCCTGTGGGGACTAGCCGAGATAACACGTTAAAGTACTTACAAATCTAAACTCCTCAAGTAAACACAGCATGACTGTGTGTCACTGAGAATGCCTGTCAACCTCTCCAGGGCCCCAGCCTAGTGTCTCAGATGATCACTGTGTGTTTAGAAAGCATTTTGAGTCATTACAAAAGTTATAGCCCTTCGTGGTCACACAGGTAGAGTTCACAGTGTCCCTTAGGTGGAAGGACAAAGATTTCGCTGCTTGCTTCGAATGTGGAAAAGAAGTTTAAGGTTTAATTCCCTTTTCAATTGAAGTAACCACAGTGGCTGTCTCCTTTGGCTTTAGGAACAGTTGATACCCCGTCTCTGCAAGAAAGAATTCAAGCCAGAGATGATCCCAAAGGGGTATATATATATCTAGCAGTCCAAATGTTTTCAAGCCTTTGGCTAAAGTTTTTTTTTTTTTTTTAATGAAATGCCCTGTTCTTTATCTAGAGTAGATAGATTCATAGAAACAGGAAGTACAGCCATGGCTGCCACACCTGAAGAGAGGGCAAATTTACTGCTTAATAGATGGAGATGTTCATTTTTGCAAGATGAAAAGAGAGATGGAGCCTGGTGCTCATGGCACTAGGTGTGCATGTACTTACTACCCCGGAGCTGTGTGCTTGAAATGCCTGGGATGGGCAATTTGACGGTCAGCTTTGTTGTTATTCTGAGATAAAGTATCATCTTATGCATCCCAGATTGGCTGTCACTTATGTCCCTCTTCCCTCAGCTCCCTGTGCTGTGTTACAATCTTACACCAGCACTGACCTCAATGGACATTCCTAGTGGCTTTCTGTTTGTGTTTGTTTTGTTGTTTGGAATTTTTTGTTTTGTTTTGTTTTCTGAGGCAGGGTTTCTCTGTGTAGCCCTGGCTGTCCTAGAACTCATTCTAGCCTTACACTCACAGAGATCCACCTGCTTTCTGCCTCCCAAGTGCTGGGACTAAAGGCATTGCACCACCACACCCAGCCCTAGTGGTGTTCTTACCTATCACAGTGTCTGTAGATTTCAGTGTCTCGTGATTAGTTTGGGTAACATGGGTGGCAAATTCACAGCAACCTCAGCTATGGCCCTAGTCCCTCCCTCTGTAGATTCCTTGATGGTGTTACAGGGGCACACGCATGCCAGCCATATCTCTTATCGGGAACTGTTTCTGGCCACAGGCTCTGCAAGCTTTCCTAAACAGACAGAAGACGGGAAGGTTTGCATCTGCAGAAGAGGTGGCCCTGCTCTGTGTGTACTTGGCCTCGGATGAAGTAAGCGCTGCTCTTCCTGTTTGTTACTCTGCCGCACTGGGCTACCATTGCTCATCCTCATCCCATGTTTCCCAGTCTGTGGTATATATTGCTAAAGTGCTTCATTTACACGACAGGAATAAGTTCTGATTTCATTTCGTCAAAGAAAAGCCACTTACCTGTGACAGCGGCTCTTCCTCGTTCAGCTTGCCATGACTCAGCGTCATATCACAGATGAAAAAAAAAAAAAAAAAAAAAAAAGAAAAATTTTAAAGGCTCTGAGATATTTGCTCTTTAAAATTACAGTTGTGGACACGCTGATTAAATATAAAAACCTCCTGGGCTAGCCAGATGAGTTATGGGTAAAGACCCTTGCTGCCAAGCCTGGTGACCTATGTTCCACCCCTGTCACCCGCATGGTGAATGGAGACAACAGACTCCCAAAAGTTGTTTTCTGACCTTCACTGGCATGTCATGCATTCACACACATAATAAATACACACACATAGTAAATAAAATGTAATTAAATATCCTCTTGATTGTGAGAGTTGAAGGGGCTTATGAGCAGGTTTGGAGTAGAGTTAGTACATGCTGTTTTAGTTTACTAGTGGCCTGATTGGGAGGGTTCCATGAGTTTTTCCTGTTCTCGTTTGTCATTGTGTATAGTGTTATTCTTTTGTTTAAAAAGAAGAAAAGAGAAATTGCTGAGACAGACATATTGACTATAAGTTTATTCTAAGGCCCGGCAGAATGAGGAGACTAAGAAGAGGAACAGGGTAATGGCTGGCCGCCATGGCCGGTCGCCATAGAGAGACAGAGGGAGCGCACAGAGCGGGGACAGAGGAACAGAGGAACAGAGCGGGACAGAGAAACAGAGAGACAGGAGAGAGGAGACAGAGAGAGAGAGAGAGCCAGGGGGAGAGAGAGCGTAAAGGTGCAGGGGCCTATCTTTTAAAGGGGGTCTCTGCACCTGCGTGCAGACTTCTTTCCCATGGAACCTTGGGCTGACCAGGGTATTGCCTGAGTGGATTCCACCAGGTAACAGGAGCAGGCCAGCATAATGCCTGAACCTTTCATATAGAAATGCCTAATTCTGTCTCTTTTGACTTTACGCTTGTTTAATAACTGATTTCCTCCCCAGTGACTAGTGTGCATGGCTGATAAAGCAAAGACTGTTACAAGGTGCAGAGCATAAAAGCATCCTCTTCTGTTTGGAACCCACAATAGACAGAATAACAATCTCACTGATGTTTAACGTGGTGAACCACTGAGTTTTTACTGGGGTTTCTAACAGGAGTGTGTGTTTGGGGATAATTGCAGGGCAGGGATGACTTAGAAAGAGCCATATCACTGAAAAGCCTGCCTTAGAGTGTGCGAGAGCACTGGCGCCTGGCAGACCCCTCCTCCAGCAGTGTCTGAGGGAGGGCAGGTGGGAGCCTTTGAGAGTCAAGTGCTTTAACTTCCCCGGGTGTGTGAAGTTTGTGTTCCTCCAGGGTCCCCAGAGCCTCCGCCCCTACCCCCCACAGGGACTGTTTCATTTCTTTTGGTGGGGAGATGAGGGACCTTACCTATAAGTTCCTCTTCACAATGACTTGATGCCACCCAGAGAGTAGGCGACTGTGACAGACAGAATGATTTAGTTTCCGCTCCTCAAGACGGTTGGCAGCAGTTCCTAGAAGCTGCGGAATTGCTGGGTAAATTAGCACCGAAGCAATCAAGCACTTTATCACTTTTCATGTGTTTATTTTGAAAAGTACTTTCTTGGGCTGGAGAAATAAGAGAACTGGCTGCTCTGAGTTCAATTCCCAGCGCCCATATGGTGGCTCACAACCATCTGCATGCCAGAGCACTGTATATATAATAAATAAATAAATCTTTAAAAAAAGAAACTTAAAAAAAAAGTACTTTCTCCTGCCTCTTCCGACAACTTCAGATGCGTGTCAAACTAAGGAGACAGACATGAGGGCTGTTTATCATCCATTTTGAGTGAGTAAGTTTCTTTTATTTTTTAATTCTTTGACAATTTAATACACCTATATAATGTATCTTGGCCATATTTATCTCCTATTACTCTCTTTCCCCCATCACTCCTTTTGAGCCCTGTGTTCTCAGCAAGTGGCTCTTCCCACTTTATTTTTTATGACTCACTGAGTGTACTTAGGGTTGCTTTCGGAGCATGGGTGTGGGATTATTTCCGTGTATATGGACTACCAGTGGCTGCCTCACTGAGGAATATGGACGCCTTTTCCCCAAGCAGCCATGAACTGCTGATAGCTCTTTTGCTAAGAGAGGGGGTTTATGAGCCCCTCCCTCACCAATGATGGAGTGCAGTCCCAGCAGGTAGCCTTGGCTGCTGTGAATCCATGAGTCATGTCCATGTCCAAAAGACAACTTCAGCTTTAGTTCTCTGGGAAATGGAAATGTTTACAAACATAAGCCAATAATAATTTTTAAACCCTTTAGTGTTATACAGAATTGGGCATCTGACTCTATCATGGATATTATTAGACACATTAATGGGTTACAATAATTGTTGCCTACATAAATTTTACAAATATATTTAGTGAGCTTTCATGAATTGATCAATTAATAAGCAACTCTGTTTTCCCCATTGTTAGCATGATCACTTAATGATTGATCCACACCAGAAACATTTATCAGTGGGCTAACAATTAACTAGCTTTGATGGGTTCAGAGTTTCAAAATGAAAAGGTTAGAGCATGTACTGTTTCTGCATGTACCTTCTATCACCTCTCCTTAAGTCTGTGGTTCTGAAGCCAAGCACCTAACAGACCGTGTGCAGAATCGGACACGCTCATCTGCCAAAGGCCATGTGCTCCAGGTCATGCGATGCTCAGCTGTCGCATTTATTATTAATAATAAATTAGCACAAGTGGCAAAGGTTTTGTTATCCCAGTCATGAGAAATGTTCATGAGTCTAGTGTGATTAACTGTTGTGTCTCCTGTGCTTGTCATTGCAGTCTGCCTATGTGACGGGCAACCCTGTCATCATTGATGGAGGCTGGAGCCTGTGACTGCAGGAACTCCTTGCAGAGAAGGCAGGCTCTTCTTACTCACAGAGAAGAATAAAAATCGGACTCAATGATTATCTCTCCTAGGGTGACAGTCATGAAAACAGACCCCTTTAATGATTGTCTGCAAAAGTGGGGATCTTTAAATAGACTCTTATCTCTTCTGAAACGATGGTAAATAAATCAAATAAAATGGATAAATCAAATAGATCAAAAGAGTAGTTTGTAAAATCAGTGTGCCTGCGAACATGCAGAGTGAAGGTGCTGAGAGACATTGTATCTAGTAAGGCTGCGATTCCCCTATTCAGAGGGGCACATTGCTGTGTCCTCACTTGAGAAAAGTAGAAGAGAAGAACCCAGACCTTTTCTGCACTTAGTAAGGCATTTATACCTAACTGGAGAGAACCTTTTGTTATCTAATTACTTCCAGAGCCCTACCTCTGACCAGTATCCCACTGGGGGTTCAGGTTTTAACACAGGAATTTGGGGAGGACACCTTAGTTTATAGCAACAAGTAAAAGTAATATATGAATACAAAGAAAAGAGTTTTTTAAAGGAAAAATACTCATTTCCAGTTTCACTTTGGTTTTCAAAACTGAAATGTTTTTGTAAAGTCCTGCATTGTTGTTGTTTTTTTTTATTTTTATATTGATTATTTTTTAAAGTTAGCTTACAATGCAATCTTTTTTTTTCATTGTTTTGTTTTTTGATACTAACTTAAGCTCTTTACAAAACCATAAATGCACACCACAGGTAAAAAAAAAAAAAGGAGCTGGCCTTAATGACACAGGAGAGCAATTCTGATTCACAACTATATATATATTTTTTGTCTTGCTATGTAAAAGAAAAACGACCAAGTGTTTACCACATATTAAACGCTATTTTCTTAGTCTAGACATTGGCTTATTAAAATCAGCAATTATATCCAATACTGGACTAAGAATATATAATTAATGTGCAATACAGTCAATTTGAGAGGATTTTTGTAGATTAAATTCAGCGTTGTTTTTCAATGGTTTCCAGGATAACAAATTAGAAGCACATGACTCTGGAAATGGACTGCATAAATATAACTAAGTCACTAACAGGAGACAAGAGAAATGAAAGAAAATAGATTATTCTAGAAAAAGTGTAAGTACATTTATGAATGATAACTCTATAGTATTGTTTACAAGTGATTTCTTCCAGCTTTAAGGTTGTGTGTGAGCTGTTTGTTGTCATCCTAAAAGACCCTGTGATATGAAACCAGCCCTTTGCTCTTTGCCTTTTCTCAAAGAGACTTAAAAGGCAGAATAGCTGTGGAGTCCACAATGAGAGGATAATATGCTGTGTAGGTGCAGTTGATGAATTTGAATTGAAATTCACAAGAAAGGGTACTTGGAGTAGCACTGCCAAGACCTCCATTGATAAGGTTAGCTAGGGTATTCTACAAGCAGGTGGTGGGCTGACTTGTGTGACCTACACCTGGTCATCCAGCCTACCCTGTAGTTTAGTTGTCTGGTCTTTGTTTCTTGAGGCGCTTCTCACTATGTAGTTCACACTGACTTTCACCATTTTCCTGCCTCATGGGTGCTGGGAATATAGATTGTGCCACAGGCTAGTTTTTTTGTTTATTTGTTTTTGTTTTGGGTTTGTTGTTGTTGTTTTTCAAGACAGGGTTTCTCTGTATTGTTTTGGAGCCTGCCCTGGAACTCAATTTGCAGACCAAGCTGGCCTCGAGCTCACAGAGATCTCGCAGCCTCTGCTGGGAGTGCTGGGATTAAAGGCGTTGTGCCATGCCACCAACGCCCGGCTCATTTTTTATGTTATGAAATTAGGGGTTTGGGCTAAATGCCTTGTCTCTCTTTTTGTGTATCATGATCAAAATGCTGTAACTCCTTATCTAGTAAATGAACGGAACATTGGAATGGAGGATAATGAAATTCTGTGTGTTGTGAGCAGGTTCACGTATGGTTAAAAACAAATGAATCCCTTTAAACATGGTGAATTCTATGAGATAGATTCCAACAGCCAGCTTCGTTCACTCACTTCAGTCAGAGCTTGACACCAGGAATGAACCTAGCCAAAAAGTTCAGTGCTTTCCACTCATGCCAAGCAAATAAAGAGACATATCAAATGAACATCATATGACCAATGGGGGAAGGAAGGAAAATATGTCTTGGTCCTGCAGGAAGAGGAAGCTGATGAGAACGGAAATTTTTGCAAGTTTTAGAAAATGGGTTCATTTCAGGAAAAGAATCATAGCGTCTGAGAAAGGGTACTAGGTGGAGCCTATGTTCATCCTGAAGATGGTCCAGAAGAGGCACCCATGATTTCTGTCTGACATCGAAATTTTCTTAGACACCTGCATCCGTGAAACCCAAGATTGAATTTAGCACTTGCTCAAGGAGTGAAACCAGGTAAGGGACGGGAGTAACCAATCTCTCCTTTGAGAAGCCGGTACCCCATATTCGGGCGTGTCTTTCTGCCTGGGAGCATTTCACCCCTTCATCCATGTTTAAAATCTATGTTAAAAGATCATGTTCAAGTCTGCTTTGAAAGAAAAGGAGAAAAGTAGCAAAGGGGGACAGTAAATAAAAAAATGAATGACTGATGGGAGGGTTCCAGTGTAAAACAGCATAGTTAGGGGCTCACAGTGATAAACTCTACCCCAAGGTTTCAGCTGGTGATTTGTCACCTGAAAGAACCCAGCCTCTCCACCGGCAGTGAGGCGACACTGAGTTCTGGAGGTGGCGAGTGATCACAGAATTTAGGAGATTCAGCAACAGTGAGGAGCCAGGCTGCTGGCCCCCAGCCTTGTAAGGCAGACGGCCAGAGGCTGCGGGAAGCGGGGCGCGCGGGGTGCCGGGGTGTCTCTCCGGGTGAGCGCATGGAGCCCTGAACCTGGAGAGTGCGCTCCGCCCTGCGCCGCGCCCCTGGACCTCCCGGTTATCCGCAGCCAAGGCGCCGCCCCGCCGCCTCCGCAGACCCAGGCTCGGTTCCCAGCCAACGGAAGCAGGGAGGCCTGTGCCGGAGACTGCCGGCAATGATGTGAGTAGCACAGGCATAGCGTGTGTGCGTGAGTGCGTGTACCTGTGCGTGTGCGTGTTTGGTGTCTTCGTGCTACTGTTACTAGGTAATATGAGCGGGGTTTTCCTTGTTTTTATTTGTGGACTGTGTAGCACTGCTGAGGATCATGAAGTCTGGCTGGACACGGGACTGTGTTAAGCCTGCTCGAGAAGCACTTGAGCTGTGGCTCTTTGACTCGCCAGGCATCGGCTTCTTGTGTCATTCTTGCTCCAGACTCGGGTGAGATTTGTATCACCAAATCATTAATGGCAAAAAGCTTTAGCCTCGCAGCCAGCACCAGCAGACAGGATGGAGCCGGGGCCTGACACAGGTCTACTCTTTTCCCTTAAAGACCCACTCCCTCTGAAATGCCCCACCCCCCACCCCCAACACACACACACACACACCTGCCAGTTTCTGCTGCTGCACAGGCTTATCCGTGGAGGCTGGCTTACTGTTTCCCTCTATGTCCTGAATGAAGACTTTCCGTTCAGCAGACTCCTGCAGGTCTTTTCTGATCCAAGCAGGCCCAGGGACAGGAGAGACAATAGTGAACTACCTACTGTTTCCACCTACAGGAAATGCAGGGATGGGAGTGTATCTAAACAAGAAGTTAGGCTCTCAGCAACCACGAACTCCCTAGGGATGTGGGCCAAGTATCAGCCTTCTATTGCCTGATGACAAACATCAGGATCACAAGCAACCTGGGGAGGAAAGGGTTGATTCTATCTCACTGCCTTACATCATGAAGGGAATTTGGGGTACAAACTCAAGGTAGGAACTGAACTTGAAGCCATGGAGGAATACAGCTTACTGGCTTGCTGTCCATGGCTTCCTCAGTGTGCCTTTTTCAGGCCCCAGGACCACCTGCTCAGGGATGACACTGCCCACAGTGGGCTGGGCCCTCCCCCACCAATCATTAGTTAAGAAAATGTCCCAAACACTTGACTACAGGCCAATCTGATGGAGGCATTTTCTCTGTTGAGATTCCCTCTTCCCGGATAATTCTAGATTATGTCAAGGTGACAAAAAACTAACCAGCCTAGTGATTAAGGCATGTTATGTATTTTCTGGCATAAGAAGTCTTTGGGGTTACAACCCTATCAGCTGTCTTCTCAGCAATTTTGGAGTACCCACAGAAGGCATTAAGAATGAGGCCAGATGAGCCGGGTGTAATAGTGCACGCCTATTAATCCCAGCACTCAGCAGGCAGAGGCAGGTGGATCTCTGTGAGTTCCAGTCTGACCTGGTCTATACAGTGAGTTTCAAGACAGTCAGAGCAATATAGTGAGACCATGTTCAAAAGAAGGAGGAGGAGGAGGAGGAGGAGGAAGAGGAAGAGGAGGAGGAAGAAGAAGAAGAAGCCACCAGAGGTGTCAGAGATAGTGACTCAGGCCTGCATCCTTGTCTTACATGAAAAGTTTCTATGTGAATGTGGAAGTTGACACTCAACTGCTTCATGCATGCATGCTTGTCCAGCAGACAGTGGAAAACTGAAAACATTCCACAAACTTCCTTCCATTTGGGTTTGGGTGTAGGTCTAGAGTCTAGCAAGTAGACAATGTATCTGAGTCTTCAAAGGCGGGGCAAAGCCAAGGCCATCTTCCTGCTATTTTTCAACGCTTCCTATCGGCAAGGAAGGCCCTGGGGATGGCACTGTCGGCTTTCACAACAGCTCGTGTTGGGGCTCCTGTTCCCGGTCATAACATGTTAAATCCTCAACCTTGTTGCTGACAGGAGGCAGTTGGAGGAGTGGGGGAGTCACAGTAGAGTAGGTCTCTCATCCCAGACTTCAGGAGACTGAGGCAGGAGAGTCCAAGTTTGAAGCCAGTCTGGGCTACATAGTGAGACCCTGTGGTGATTGAATTGTCTTAATTACTTTTCTATTGCTGTGATAAGACACCACAACCAAGGAAGGAAGCTTATAGAAGAAAGGTTTGGAGGCACCTACAGTTTTAGAAGGTTAATCATCACGGCAGGGGTATGGCAGCAGGCAGGCAGACAGGCACTGGAGCAGTAGCTGAGAACTCTCCATTTAAAACACACCAAAGAGGCAGAGAGACACACTGGCTATGTTGTGGGCTTTTGAAACCTCAAAGCCAGCCCTTAGTGGCACACCTCCTCCAACAAAGCCACACCTTCCTTTGCAGTTCTACCAACTGGGAACCAAGTGTGCAAATATATGAGTCTCTGACGTCCATTCATGTTCAAACCATCACAAATATATTCTTGTTCTATGCAGACTGCATCCAGATCCCAGCTGGCAGCTACTGTGATGTTCTCGACTGTCACACACCCTGTGGAAACCCTTGCCTGTAGCAAAAAATAGAACATTTCTTAATGGTCAGTTGCTAGAGTTCAGGGCTCATCCTTGAGGGCCCAGCCTAGACCCTGCTTTTCTAGCACCTCAAAACAATCAGGATTATCTAATTCTCTATATATCTTTCTGTTTAAAATGCCTAGAGTGAGCTGAATGGAGGTGGCTAACAACTTTTATCCCAGCACTCAGGAGGTAGAGGCAGGGAGACCTCTGAGTTCCAGGCCAGGCTGGTCTAGAGTGAGCTTCAGACAGCCAGAGCTACACAGAGAAACCTTGTCTCCAAAAACCAAACCAAACCAAAAACAACAACAAAAATGCCTGGAGTGACTTGATGCTTGGACACTTGAACCATCTGAACCTAAACTCCTATTGTTTTGGTTTGGTTTGGTTTGGTTTTATTTATTCCTTTTTGTTTTTTGTTGTATGGGAAGTGAAGCTCTGGAGTTAGGTCTGGAGGCCACTTCCGTGAACTGCCCACATTTTTGTACCTGCTATATCCTAAGTAATACGGCACATAGAATTTCCATCATGAACTTCCAAGTCACTCATGGTCCTTACTCCTACAGTTTCTTTGCCTGAGACGGTCTGTTCTACTACTTCTAAATGAAATCATATTTCAGGGTTAGAGTCCAGCATCTCATGACTACCCCAGTAATTTGACTACTATCAAGGGGCTAGACCATGTTTCAATGCTGCTTCTCATATGAAGTTGTCAGAGCTGGTTCTGTAGCAAATTCACCTGTTGTGGTTACCAAATGTGTCGGCTGTAGTAATAGGATTTATTTCTTTGTCAAAACTCCTTGAAAATAGCAGAATTCCCTTTCTCACAGTAGCCCAGTGATATCAGAGCTCTACATTGCTGTCTATGATTAGCCAAGCTTGACTTTTTGTCTGTGAATGAAGGCTGGCTATTAAGGTTCCAAAACACGTTATCAACCAAAGCTTTCCCTCAACACAAATGGGTAAAGACAAAAAGTTAATTTTTTCTCTTCTCTTTCTTTTTACTAAGAAGAAATGTATTAATCTATTGGTAGGAATCCTTCATAGCCCTGGACCAAAATCTGAAAAACAGTCATGTTATAGAGACTGATTTAGACCTATCCTAACTTCATCCCTAGAGTCAAGCAAATAATCCACTATCATATCTAAACAAGTGGCTTTTAGATGTCCAGTAGGAAATGTCTATAACACATAAGTGATCCTAAATCTAAAAATTAGATGTTAAAGTTGCAATTAAAAATTTTGCCCTTTGGAAGGAAGATAGACTAGAGAGAAGCAAGAATCGAGTTCCTCTTATTTTGGTATAATTTTCTTACATTTATATCTGATCAGTCTTTTCCATCATGAAGAGTCAACAATATCTCCAGGGTAAGAAACCAAATAGTGTGACTGACGCTTTCCTTGGTTAGCTTGGCCTCCTGTGGTTGACACACCTAGAACTCTCAGAGAAGGTCATTCTCAAAGGGAAACATTCTTGGTCATTCCAGGAATTCTCAAGGAAAGTTTTAACCTCCTCTGTCCTGGTGTGAATTCCTCACTGCTGAGTAGGGGACCTCTTGACATGTTAACCTTACATTGGAGTTGATAAGCAGAACCCCAACTAGAATATTTGTTCTACATAGAAACTTCCTATGGGAGCCTGGTATGTTGGCACACTGAGGAGGTTCAGGAAAGTGGCTGCTAAATGAGATGCTAGCTAGCTTAAGCTACAAAAGGGAGAGCTTCCTCAAAACAAACAAGGAAAAATAAACAAACAAAAGGTGTTGTGTGAGTCTGAGAACCTACTGTTTGAACACTTGAATGGGTGAACACCAAATGTAGGAGACTATTACTACTGTCGTCATTGTAGAGTACTTGAGGAGCAGCCACGGTAATGGACTCTTAAATGCATACAGCACAGAGAGTGTTCCCACAGTCAGTCCACTCATGATGCTATAACAAGACACTAATTTACTGGAGTAATGGTAGATATTTATTCCTCACAGTTTTAGAGGCAGGCAGTTCCAGGGTTATGGTTCCGGTAAGATTTGACGTCTGGTAAGAGCTTTCTCTCTGTTTATAAACCAGTACCTTCTTGCTGCATCCTTGTCCTCTTGTGAAGGGAGGAACAATGCCACATGACATTGCCGAATGGGAAGAGCTGTTCCTTCAGTGTCCTCCTTTTCTATACACACACACACACACACACACACACACACACGAGACAGGTCTATATATCCCTGGCCATCCTGCTGTCCTGGGACTCTCTATTTAGACTTAAAGAGATCTGCTGGCCTCTGCCTCTTGCTGGGATTAAAGATGTGTTCTAGCCGGGTGTGGTAGCCCACACCTTTTGTCCAGTAGTGGAGGCAGAGGCAGGTGAATCTCTGAGTTTGAGGACAGCCTGTGTACAAAGTGAATTCTAGGACAGCCATGGTCACACAGAGAAACCCTGTCTCAAAATAAACAAACAAACAAATAAGGTGTGTGCCACCATGCCTGGCCCTTCAACCTCTTTTCAAAAAGCAGTATTCCGTTCAAGAGAGTGGATCATTTCATAAAAGTGACTTAATCCCTTCCTAGGAATCTACACCACTTACTGATCTCCTTCTTGGTTTAAGTTCCAAAATGTGAGCTTTGGAGAAACAGAAGCATTATAAATGGTATCCAGCAAAATATGTAAATTCTCAGTAAGAGTCCCCCACAATGGCCTGTCCATATCACAGGCAAGAAATGTAATCGTTAATCTTGATTGTCAACCATTGGATTGAGAATTACGTAGGAAAGTAGAAAATGGGGTCTAACCTAGTGAGCTGATTAATCACTTGATGGGGTCATAAAATTACAGAATTATTAAGAGGTAGTTTAAGTATGAGACAAATATGAAATAAAATAAAATTCAGGATGCAGGTCATTGGGATGGATCCTTGCTGGCTGTATCTTACTTTAGCCAATTCCTTTATATTCTTTCTCCACCTGCCCCACTCGTGTGTGTGTGTGTGTGTGTGTGTGTGTGTGTGTGTGTGTGTCTCCTCCATTCAATCTCACCCTTTCACTCTACTCTCTAATTTGTTCTGGCTCTCCCTCTCCTTCTTCCTGGTTACTACAGCAGACCTGCACTCTGCCCTTCAAGCAGTATGATGCCTCTGAAACCATGAGCTCAAATAAATGCTTCCTTTTTGATGCTGTTTGCATCTGAACTTTTGGCACAAGAAAAGCAATGGCACAGAGCATGACCAGTGGTCTGTGATACCCTCAGCTATTAGGATGTACAGAGGAGACTGGCCTGTCGAATATGTTTAGTTTATTCACCATGCTAATATAAAGATTATGGTAATCTTATGTAAACAGACATCTTACCAAGAGGGAAACAGTTGGTCAGACAGAAAACTACTCCAGGTTTCCACTGGTGAATCTGCTCTTGGTTAGAACACTTTCGGAGATTGCAGGCTTGACCCAACTGTGCCTTGACATCCTTCAGCTGTGGTAAGTCAGAGGATGGCATTGTTGGAAGTCCCAGAGAGCATCAGCCAGCACTTAGCACTGTCAGGTGGACCTGATGGGAAGCAAGAACGACATGAAGGCCAGTCTCAAAGTCCTCTTGCCTGTGGCGATCAGCACAGAGGCTGGAGATCCAGTGTCCCCAGCGCATGGCAGTGCAGTCCCTAGGAGCCACTCTCTAGTTTTCCTTCTTAAACTCTTTGTGTATTTCAGTGCATGGCTCATCAGGCTCCTGTGTGTCTAATTTGGTGGTATTTCACACATTTTAACACAAATGTTTTTCTGTTTTGTTCACAGTCAAAACATGTTAGTTAGGTTCAATTGTAAGTATTTTTCTTCTTTTACAACAATGACATTTTTTAAGTCAAAACATGTTTATGTTCATTTTGTCAAACCAAATTGTTATTTTATAACAACATGAAATGTTTTCATCATATTTCCAGGTTACACAAAAATGGTTTCACTTATGTTCCTATCACTAACTAATGCAACAAGTAAGAAAGTTGCCAGTCTCGGGGCTGGAGAGATGATTTAGCATTGGGTCTGTTCTGTTCTTCCTGAGGACTTGAGTTGGGTTCTGTGGTATTGACATGAGAATGGCCCATAGACTCATAAATTTGAATGCTTGGTCCCCAGTTAGTGGAACTACTTGGGAATGATTAGGAGGTGTGGCCTTATCGGGGGAGACGTTTTACTGAAGATGGGCTTTGGGGTTTCAAAAGCCCATGCCAGGATGAGCCCCTCTCTCTGTCTGGAACTTGTGGATCTGATGTGTGCTCCCATCTACTGCTCTAACATGTGCCTCTGTGCCTGCCTGCTGCCGCCTCCCCTCTCCCCATCATTGGTTCACTCTCTGAAACTGTAAGGAAGCCTCTAAGTAAATGTTTTCCTCTATAAGTTGTCTTAGTCACGATGTTTCATCACAGCAATAGAACTAAGACAGGTTCCCCAGCACTCACATCAGGTGGCTCACAACTGTCTGTAACTCCAACTCTGTGGGATCCAGTGTTGTAATTTAACAAAGCAGCACATGAGAGAAAGATGCCACGGGACAGAGTTTGGGTGGAAGGGTTTTTTACTGAGGGAAAGTGAATGGGAAAAGGAGGGAAGGGAGAGGGGAGACTGGCCTCTGGGGACAGAAGCAGCGGAAGAGGAGAGAGAGAGAGAGAGAGAGAGAGAGAGAGAGAGAGAGAGAGAGAGAGAGAGAGAGAGAGCAGGACCATTTTAAAAGAGAAGAGAAGGTAGTGAAGGTGGTACTCTTAGTGGCCGCATTTGAGGGCATATCCTGTCAGAACCCCAAGGGCAGGCCAGTACAGATGCCTGAATACTAACACCGTGTCCTCTTCCAACGCCCCCCCAACCCAGGCATCTACACCCATGTTCACTAACAGCAGGCACATACACATTCGAGGGGACTCCCACACACCAGGTGTCTTCTCCCAGACCCTGGATTAGGCACAAACTACACCCAAACACATGTTTTCACAGACAGATCCTTTGTTAGGCAGGGAAGAAAGCTAAAGCAGCTGCTTTCTGACTCAGGCAGAAAACAGCAGCAAATGACCTTGCAGGTGTCATTTTTAAGAGTGGGGAAAGGGAAGGTTTGTGTTAGGATGGGCTAGGGTGTGGTGGTGAAGGAGATAGGGGATGAGGGAGAAGGGGGCCAGAGAAAGGGGGCAGGGATGTTTGTACCAGGGGGACAAGGGACTGCCTCTGGCTAGAAGGGAGACAGACATGGCCCATAGGCTCATGGCAGTTATAAAGGTAAAGGGAGAAGTGATAAAATGAGTTGCTTAATTTTGATTGGTCATGTTAATTAAAGTGGCCAAAGGGTGCTTCTGATTGCCAGACTTCATTACTTCAGTAACTGGATTTCAGCAGTCAGCTTCAGGAGAAAGAAATGGCCAAATAAGGGAAAGGATCTGGATGGCTAGCTTTATGGGTGTAATATAACGGGTTTTAGGAAGACAGCGGAGATGGGAGAGAAGGGCAAGGGCTGCCAGAGCCATGCTTGCCATATTCTGGTCAGAGTCCCTTCACACAGTTTAAAACAAAAAAGAAAGTGAGGGATCTCTGCCCATGCAGAGCCCCTCAAAAGCAGTGAATTCATTGAAAGAGGCATGTTTCACTTAACATTTGCAACTTTGTAGCAGGAAGTAATTTTATCCATTTAGATAAAATTAAAAATAAGCTGCAGAATGGAAGGCTTGTTTAACAAACACCTGACGTTATGGGAAAGTATATTTATACCAATTTTTCAAGATCTGTTTCACTTGCCTGTGGAGAAGGACAAGGATGTGGCAGGCCCCCTGTCACCTGTCCTATTTGTTAGATTTAAGGATTTTCTTTCATTTATGTCTTAGAAATATTTGAAAAATGGCTGTAAAAGATCCCTAAGCGCTTCCTCACCCGTTCTGAAAAACCACAAAAACAGATGAATCAAATTGTAGCAAGTAGAATTAAGTTATCCCCCCCAAAATCAGAATAAGCCAGGCAGTGGTGGTGTACACCTTTAATCCCAGCACTTGGGAGGCAGAGGCAGGAGGATCTCTGTGAGTTCGAGACCAACTTGGTCTACAAGAGCTAGTTCCAGGACAGGCTCCAAAGCCACAGAGAAACTCTGTCTTGGAAAAAAAATCAGAAAGAAAATTATTATGGCTGAGGCAAACTATATATTTTTTTCTCCAAAGCTTTAAAATTGCACATATCCAGTTCTAAATATACTCAAAGTTTCACATAGGGAAATCTTACTGTGACCACCATAACAATACAGAAAAACAGACAAGGCAGACATAAATAAGTGACTCAGAAAACGACAAGATAGGGATAGGGTTCTGGTGGTGACTCATTCCTGGTGTCAACACTGGGAAGTTTCCTGTGCATTCCTGCTTCGTGGAGTCAGCCCATTGGCTAGGGCAGTCTAGAAGTGGTTCTGTGCTGTGTGTGTCAAAGTGAACCTCACAAGGGACGGTGGGAAAGGAATTAAGACGAGATAGGCCAACAAGGGTTTATTTCAAGAGCAGCCAAAAACTTGGTAGGAATGAAGATAAATATGTTGGGCTCAAAAACAAGGGTCAGCGATGGAAAGGTGACAGAGGCCTGACTTAGTGTGGGGTCCACCCTCCGGGTTCCAAGGACAGAAAGAAGTGAATTTACCATTTATTTCCAATGGTCTTCAATTTCTGCTGTGTTTCCTTCAATCCAGATCTTGTCCCTCATCCTGAATCATTGTCTTTGAAATTATAAGACATGGAGGATGAAGATAAGACAGTTGGATGTCAGGATTCAAAGCCACCCACAGGGACCAGTCACACAGCTCCTGTGCACCAAGGACCACAGGTAATATCTCCAGTCAAAGGCAGGAAACCCAGCTCTTTCCCTAAGCATACTGCTATGTGTTTCCTCACTCTTTCCCAGTCAATTAACAATTCTCCCAGAAGGGCCAGGTGACACTCCTGAAATGCCAGCGCGCTCTCGATCGCTTGGAAGAGTGATGCAAAAATACTGTGAGTATGCAGCCAGCCTGAGTTGCCTAGTGAGACCCTGTCTCCAAAGAAAGATGGCGAGGGAGGGAAGGAAGGAGGGAGAGAGAGAGGGAAGGAAGGAAGGAAGGAAGGAAGGAAGGAAGGAAGGAAGGAAGGAAGGAAGGAAAGAAAATTCTCATTCCTAATTCCCGTGATCATATAGGCCAGGGTAGATAATGTCTACCAGTTTCCCAGTTAAGGTCAAGGGTAACTAGCCCTACCAAGATGGGCAAAATAGCCTATGAAATGCTGTGTGTTCCTGGCCTAAGCCCTAGAAGGAGTTTGTGTGCTTGCCCTCCTTGCTTTCTGTTACTCTCGCTCCCTCTCTTTCTCCCCCCTTTCCTCCTGTTCTTGAATCACTTTGGTACATTTACCTGCTATCACCTTGAGTTGTGTCTTAACTATACCAATTATGAAATTGTGTAGTTTGTATAGTTTTATAGCACTAGTTGTATAGTACTAGTATTGTACAATGTAACTTTATGTTTATGTGACTCAAGCATTTAAAACTCTAAAATTAGGGACTCATTGTTAAGTATTGTGTTTTTCTTTATAAGCTATTATCCTAGATTTTAATAACGGCAATTTGATTTGAAATGTGATAAGCCAATAGCTAAAACATGCATGAAAACATAGTTTGAAAGATTTAAAATTTTTGTTTTGAATGCAGGAGGAGAAAGTCATGAATCTCAAAGGTGTAGATGGGAATGAGCCAACAGAAGACAGCAACCTGCTGAACAGTGGTGAAAAAAAGCCACAGGAATTGGCAACAGAATCCAGTCACTTGCAGAGTGTGAGGCGAATTCTGGCTTGCCCTCCACATGGCTCGCTGGGGAAAGTGGTAACAAATGGTGTGTATATGGCAGGGATGAACTCAGAAAAAGAAGATCCATCACAGTGAGAGTTCCAAAAGCATGAGAAGACATGTACTTCTTTCTTAAATCAAAAACTATTAAGTGGGATAACTGCCAATGCTTGTCTCTGCTCTACACGGTCCTGGGCGCTGGGGAGGGGTGTTCATGAAAAACTCTACCATCTCAGACTGTGGTTTTAAAGGTGTCTGTGGTCACCACATTTGAGCCAGTGCACTTTTGAGTCAAAAGAGCAGGATTAAAGAACACATGCACGCACGCTTGTGTCTTAAAATTTGCTTTCATAGAAAATTTTCAACCCCTTCTTTCTTGTGGTATTGCACAGTTAACATACACCATGAAAGCACATGTATGCACATGTGCGCGCGCACGCGCGCGCGCACACACACACACACACACACACACACACTCACTCACATACTCAACACACACACACACACACACACACACACACACACACACACGCACACACACACGCACACACACACACACTCACACACACATTTTCCTGCTATCCTGGTAAGGCTTCTATGAGAACACTGTTTATAAATGTCTGGTTACCAGAGAAGCATTGTGTAAATGTTGATGTCATTACATGGAAAGCAGTATGACTAATATTGAGCAAACAGTGATCATTTTATGCTTCTAATAAAATCCTGCATTTCACAATTCAACCATTTCTTTGAGAGCTTAGGGAAGTGTAGATGGAAGTTTCTGTCCCACAGCCGCTTTGCCCCAAATAAACACACAAAGACTTATATGAAGTTTAAATGTTTGGCCGATGGTTCAAGCTTCTTATTGGCTACCTCTGTCTTAATTATTAACCCATTTCTATTAATCTATGTATTACCACAGGCTGTGGCTTACCCGTAATCCAGCATGTTACTCCTTGGGCAACATGGTGTCCCTTGGCCACCTCTCTCCGCCTCCCTCCCCCAGCCTTCTCCTGGTCTGGTAGACCCGCCTATGCTTTCTGCCTGGCTATTGACCAATCCGTGTTTTAATCATCAACCAATAAGAGAAACATATATACAGAAGGACATCCCCCATCAGGGGAGGGAGAAGGATTTATCTGAGCTGTTAGGGGTATTGTTTCAGTTGAGATATATTTGTCTTCTAGTTTATGAAGGTAACCTAAAACATGTTAGAAATTTAATGAATGTTTACATGTTCATAATCAGTGGTACAATTTTTTGTTCACAAAGGGAGAGAGAGGGAAGGAGGGAGGGAAAGACTGTGTGTGTGTGTGTGTGTGTGTGTGTGTGTGAGTGTGTGTGAGTGAGTGTGTGTGAGTGTGTGTGTGTGAGTGTGTGTGTGTGAGAGTATGTGTGTATGTGTGTGAGAGTGTGTGTGTGTGAGTGTGTGTGTGTGTGTGTGAGTGGGTGTGTGTGAGAGTATGTGTGTATGGGTGTGAGAGTGTGTGTGTGTGAGTGTGTGAGTGTGTGTGTGTGAGAGTATGTGTGTATGGGTGTGAGAGTGTGTGTGTGTGAGTGTGTGAGTGTGTGTGTGTGCATATGTGCATACATGTGCTTTCATGGTGTATGTTAACTGTGCAATACCACAAGAAAGAAGGGGTTGAAATTTTTCTATAAAAGCGAATTTTAAGACAATTTTGGAAACTGTTGAAAAATGAAAACACGATTGCAGTATGGCTTTCTATGTATTGTTTCTTGAAACAAGGCTCAATTCCCAGTTCCCTTGACCTTGGTGTGTGAATGCTGCTTTGTTTCAACAAACGCTGTCTGTGAGGCTCAGGACTCATGACTCTCCTGCTTCAGCTGCCTCAGTGCTGGGTTTGCAGACCTGTACCACCCACCCAGCCTCTCCACCCACCCAGCCTCTCCACCCACCCAGCCTGAGCTAAGTTTTTGGACCTATACTTTAGAAGGAAGCTCTCACAGAGATTTTCATCATTTTCATGCAAGACAATGAAAACAAATATAATATGTTATGCTTTAGGTGGTGTATGTTTTTACTGGAAAAGTAAGATTCTGAGCCAGTGTGGAAAAAAAAAAAAACTGTTTGGAGTACAAAAACTAGGTCTCAAAATATAACTAGTTGAAGAGGCTGTCCATAATTTGATACCTCTTCTCTTCTTTATATTATTTATTAAATTGTTACCATTGAAAATATGACACATATCAAGTTTTAAAAATTATAATAAAAACAGATACCGATTGCCTGAGGAATATGTAAAAATGAATAATGTGATTTTAGAACTCATTTTTATCCTTTTTAACGTTTTTGTGGCACTGCATGCTTCTGTCTTCGCATGTATGTATACTCCCGTGTGTGGGTGCAGGTGTGTAAGTGTGCACTAGTGTGAGTGTGTGGGGGCCGGAGATTGATGTTGGCTCTTCCTCCATCACTCTCCACTTTACATAATGAGACTGATGTCTCACTTTTGCATGATTTGGTTCCCCAGACCTGACTAGGGATTGATCTAACTGGGTAGCAAGAGAATGGAAAGAAAAGCTGGGATCAGGTGGCTGGGCTCTCTGATGGAGGAGCTGCAGGACCTGGGACATTCAGCATGTATATTACGTCCAGCTGAACACAGAAGAGGGCTTATTACATCCAGATAAACAAGGAGTCAGGGTTATTACATACAGCTGAACAAGCAGACAGACAGGTTTGGCTAACCTCAGTGGGAGCAGACTCTGTAGAAGAGAGGTCTTCAGGCTGTGAACATCCAGGGAGAAGACTATAGTGGACACATTTGCACTTGCATAGGAATAAGGCTTTAACCTCCCTTTGAAGCTTTGGCCCTTGATGTGGCCATGCCCAGAGCAGCAACACACACTCACTGAGAATTTCACTGGCTCCCTACAGCAGGGTCTTGCTTGGGCCCAGAGCTCACTGATTAACGTAGTCTGGCTAGCCAGCTTGCTCTGGGATTCCATCCGTGTCTCCGAGGACTGGGATTACAGGTTGAGTGCCATATTGATATCCGCACTTACCCGCTAGGGATCCAGACTGTCATTCTCACGCTTGCATGGCAAGCACTTTAATCACCGAGCTCTCTCTGCAGCCTGAGAACTCATCTTTAAACGTGGAATTGTTCAGAAACATTCCCAGGAAGCAAGGGGCTCCTGGTAGATAAACATGTGCAAACTGTTGTCCTGTATTTGGACTTCTGAGGTTGATGGCTTTGTTCTGTGGTCGCTCCTGCATCATTTAACATAAACAAACGCTTCTTGGAAAGTAATTATTACACGGAAGTTATGCTTTTCTAAAATCATAGATGACAAATAAGTTATTGACCTGTTTAAACCTTATAGACATACACATAAATGACATTTACAACGATATTTTAGGTTGGGAATGAAAAGAGACTTAGAGATTTTTAAAGTGACCTTAGCACGGAAGAATGAAAACTCTTAGCTCTATCTGTGGAATTACTGAACAGTTCAGTTTATGCTTTTAATAAAGTCAGTCTTAACAGCTGGCAAGGCACGCCTTCCATTCTGCCTGTAACCTCTCCTGGAAATCTAAACCTGTATACTCTATTGGAAAATACTGAAAGTACAATAGATATTTTATTGAAGTAATAGCTTACATCTCTGGAAAATTTTTTTGAGGTTTAGAAACAGAGGCATTAGGTTTGGTTGCTGGGTTAATTACCTTTCTCATTGTGATAACAGCAATGGGTCCTTTTCTTTCTTTCTTTTTTTTTTTTAAGTGTGATAATTCTAAGCAAACATTGACTGTAAAAGAAGTGATGGTTAATGTTTAATTCGAGGCAGAACTAAATACTGGAATATCACTGGAGTGCAAATAAATATTCTCAAGTTTTTACTCAGAGGGCAAAGACAGTAATTGTTCTCTGTAATATTAATTGTTCCTGTGTTGCAAGATGGTGGTTCCTTCTGGCATTGTGAAGGGAAATGGGGCTGAGAATAGGTGGTAGTTATGTTCAAAGGTATTGTCTACTCCCTGGTTCTTAAACTGGTTGGTGATCACCTAGTTGTTTACATCATCATGTCCTTTATAACTTATGGCTACAAACATTTGCATATGGATTCACTGTTTCTTTAAAAGTAATTTCAGAATACAACAAAGCTTGCATGTGACAATTAGTTTTTCTGGTGTTTTGGGTTTCATTTTTTGTGGTTTTTTTTTTTTAAACCTTTTTTATAGGTACCATGGTTGTTCTTCTGTGGGCTGTGGTTTGGTCAGTTACAGGCCCCGAGTGTCTTCCTGGAGGAAATCTGTTTGGAATCATAATCCTGTTCTATTGTGCTGTCGCCGGAGGCAAACTTTTTGGACTCATTAAGTTGCCAGCATTGCCTCCACTGCCTCCTCTTCTTGGTAAGTGCTAATGCTTCCTGATTTCCTCAAAGCAAATGATAGCTTTACAAAACACTCTGGGAAGCTTTGGGAAATAAAAGAATAAAATGTTCCAGTATTTTCTGTCTTGGAGACAAAAGCCAAATTTTAATTTAAAAAAATATTAGTGTGTGTGTGTGTGTGTGTAAGAATGTGTGTCTTCCAACCCTTTACAAAGTATGTTACGTGTATCTTACTAAACTGTCTCATGTGAAGGTAAAATAAAACCCAAGTAAGTACTTATTGATCGCTCAGGTAACCTGACATTGAGAAGAATTTTAGGAGCTATTTGAACTCAGGGATGACTGAACTGACATTGGATTAAAGCATCTTATTTAGGATTTGATCTTTATTCCTTCCAATCACTGTACTTTGTGTGTTCCTTCTACACATAATTATTCAGACAATATTAATTATTCTAATCATTAGTACGTATGAAGAATTTCTTTGATCCTTTTATTTATTGTATTTTTTTAAATTATGAGTTTAACTTCATGTCATCCAAAGACTAAGCATAAGGAAAAACTACATTGTAGTCCCTGTCACATGTAAAGTGTTTTTAAAGAAATCTCGCTGTTTGAAAACTAACTAGTCCTGTTTGATCAAGGCATGCTGCTCGCTGGATTTCTCTTGAGAAATGTCCCTGTCATCAGTGATAACATCCAGATCCAGCACAAGTGGTCTTCTTCTTTGAGAAGCATAGCCCTTTGTGTCATTTTGGTTCGTGCTGGCCTCGGTCTGGACCCAAAGGTATGTATGGAGTATGAATTTCTAATCATTGGATAATAAATATGTTCTTCTGATATTACAAGGTTTTATAATTACTAAGCTTCAGGAAGTGAATGGAGAATGCACACGCCGGTGTTGCTGTGGAGGGGAAGACACAGATGTAAATCACAGTGAGAGGTAATGACTATGGGGAACGGCATGTCAAGCCCCATACGTGTGCGTAGGGCTAACTACATGGACTCAAGGAACTGCCTTCCAGATGGAATGATCTTAGACATGCTTTTTAAAATGCTTTCTACCCATATACCTTTGAATGTGAGAATGAGTGTCCTTTGGAGACAAACACCCTCAGCTGGCCTCATTCTGGGACTGTAGGCCACAAATCAAATAGACAGTCAGCTGGTACATGGGTTGTAAACCCAGACTCTGAAGTCACCTGCATGACTGTAGACTTGGGCCCCAGCACTCATCAATTTCATGAACAGAGGCCACTGACTTTAACTTGTGCCTTCTTAAATGGTAACATCTATAACGAGGACCAGTAGTTGCCTCTTGCAGGGTGCCTGTGAGAACTGGGCACACTGTCTCCCCAAACACGCCGGATGCAGAAATACCTGCTGAATAAAACTAGCTGAAAAACCACGATGACCAAGCGTGGTCTGAGAAAGTGCTGGCGGTCACATCATCCACTCTTTATTTTTCAGGCACTGAAGAAACTGAAGGGGGTGTGTGTGCGACTGGCCATGGGGCCCTGCATTGTGGAGGCGTGCGCTTCTGCCCTTCTGTCTCACTTCCTCATGGGTTTGCCTTGGCAGTGGGGGTTCATACTGGGGTAATGATTGTTTTCTTTTCATTTGAAAATATCAAGGGGCATTTGGAACTTTCTGGTTCCATTTAAGAGAATGCAAGATAACATTTTCTTAAGAGAGCCATAAAGTACGTCACGGACACTCCAGAATCGTCTAAATAGTTTAAGTTACAGTTTGTGTCTCTGTAGTTATTAACTTTGCAGTGACTGCAATAGTATAAGTTACTGAAGAAGTTCTGATTTTGGTTGTGGTTCTTTGCCTATGTCCAATTCCAAGCCTAGGCGTTAGCTGGCGGCACCCACCCCAGAGCCTTGAAACCATTGTGTTTCATTGTGACTTGGTGGTTCTACATCCTTTCTAGAGCTGTGTTTTCATGTCCAGAGGGTGAGAGCCATGAGACATGCAGGTGTTACAAGCATATAGCAAGCATTTAGTGTTTACACACGGACAAGAAGAAATCCTTACCTGTCAGAAGTAGGATTCGGGGGCTACTGCCTAGATTCCAGCTCTGGTTCTGTGTTTTCCAGTTACCCAGGCTCTCTGTGCCTCGATGTCCTTACTTGTACCTATTTCTCAGTGTTATGTTGGTGATGAAATGACTTCAGACGTGTGAGGTCCTCTAAGTGGGTGTTCAGAGCATAGTGTGTAAAAGGCTTTTCGGCCTTACACCTGGTGCTGTTACTAACTCACCTCGCTGTCCTCATAGCTTCAGACCTGTTGTCTCATTTCACGTTTCAAGATCTAACTGAAGCCCTGTTGCAGTTCAAAATGCCCATGGTAATTTTTCACACCCTAAAACATGATGTGTGTGTGTGTGTGTAATTTTTTTTTTTAAAAAAGCACTTACTATGGCCTAATTCCATGACTGACTCAATATTTTTCATGATACATATATTGTAGGCAACCTAGGTCACTGCAAACAGATTGTCCATGGATATACTTCAGAAAGCAGTGTTTTATAGAACTTTCTGTATATATGTTTCTGGACTGTTTGAGAGACTAACCTTTAAAAGTTTAGGGAAACAAGGAGGCATTGTTATGAATTCTGAGGTCATCATAACAAGCATCTTCCTTAGACCACACTGTCTGATATCCGGCTGCTTAGTTTTGTCATAGGTGCTGTGTCTCCAGCTGTTGTGGTGCCTTCGATGCTCCTTTTGCAAGAAGGAGGCTACGGTGTTGAAAAAGGTGTCCCAACTTTACTCATGGCCGCTGGCAGCTTTGATGACATTTTGGCAATCACCGGCTTCAACACATGCTTGGGTGTGGCCTTTTCCACAGGTAATCTCACCTGTCCAGGACATGCTGGTCCCTTGTTCTACACAGGTGGAGTTAAGGTGTTTAAACTGGGGCATGATTGCTTAAGGCAATGCCTGAGAGGAAGGTGCTGGGTCCTTCCCCAGAACCATCATGAAATGGAAGGTGCCTGTCTCCCCCTCTTTGGCGTTGTAGATGAGTATGAGAGAGGAGGGCACAGGGTAATGGGGCTTTTAGAAGAGTCGTTTCTTGCAGGAGAGGTCTGAAAGGGTTTGGGGGTGTTTTGGGGGAAGGGGCGTCTAGGAAAGATTAAGTGTGGAAACCACACAAAGGTGAGGAGGTTTTGCAATCAAGCACAGTGCTTCAGGGCTTCAGGCGGGAGAAGCAGTGTGATTTTAAAATGGAGCATTTTCTGTCCTCCTGTCTTCAGCCTTTTATCAGTCCCTTGTAAATCAGTCTTCCACAAGGTTTTACAATGTTACTTTCTTGTTCTGTAGCTAACAATGTTCCCAGCTTCCCTAGAAAGACCTAATGATAAGTATCTTTAATTTAACTCTGCTATACAACTTTAGGTGGACTTGTATTCCCAGTGTTTCCCTGTGTGAACCGTTAAAGCAACAGTTCTCAGTAGTAGCATTACCCAGAGTGCTTTAATTTTCTCTTTCTTTTTTTTTTTTTTTTAAATGTAGACATTACCTTAGGCCAATTAAATAGGCACCCTTGGGAATGGAAGCCAGTGTAGCCATGACTAGGAACCATGACTTCAAAGCAACAGGGTTTGCCTTAGAGTCACAGAGGAGATGAGTAGAACAAAGGCAGATAGGAATTCTTAGAGGGGTCTATTTTCAGCTTTCCATAGCTTGAGAATCTTCCCGGCTGACTCTGTTGTCTTACCTCTGCCAGCCCTTTAAGGCCTGCTGGCAGAGGTTTTGAATTTGATCCTGACCGATAGAATTTTTTGTGTGTTTGTTTGAAACAATGTTTTGCCATATTGGAAACTGTATTAGTTATATTCTAGAGTACATTGTTTCTTCCCCCCTTTTTTTTTTATAGTTTTTTGAGAAAGGGTTTCCCTGTGTAGCCCTGGTTGTTCTGGGCACTGTACACCAGGCTGGCCTTGAATTCAGAGATCCTCCTGCCTCTGCCTCCAGAGTGCTGGGATTAAAGGTGTGCAACACCACACCTAGAAGCATTTTAATAGATATTTAAAACCATCTATACTAGAAATGTGGAGAGTATAGGGCTAGAGAGATGGCTCAACAGTAAGGAGCACTGGCTGCTTTTCCGGAGGACCAATTACGATCCCCCAGTACCCACATGGCAGTTCACACTGTCTGTAACTCCAGGGCCAGGAGATACAAGGCCCTCTTCTGTCCTCTTTGGGCATTGCATGCATGTGGTGCACAGCCATCCATCCAGGCAAAACACCCAGGCACATAAAATAATAATTTTAAGCAATATGGGGCATAGGAAATGTCTGTGGGAACTCCCTTATGCTTGCTTGGCCATGTGATCTAACTTGATGATGTTAGAGTAAAGCTTGTGTGCTTGTGGGTTTAAAGACCTGCCTAAAGTTTTTCTTTCCACGTGTTTTTCAGGGTCTACAGTTTTTAACGTCTTCAGGGGCGTTTTGGAGGTGGTAATTGGCATGGCTACTGGATCTTTTCTTGGTTTCTTTATTCAGTACTTTCCAAGCAGTGACCAGGTAAAAGAAGAAATCTGAGAAAACCATGCTGTAAATCTAGAAGAAACTTCTAGAATACTTTCCTAAAAACTGGATGTGCAGGACATAGTTGAGGAAATGGTCCCTTTTTAAAAAAAAATTGCTGATTGACCTATTGGTGCTGTCCATGAGACTGCGGACAGCTACACACATGAGTTCCTAATGCTGCTCTGGAACTTCCTATATATAATTATATTAGGTACATTTATATAATCAATATAACTATATGACATAGTTATATATAATACTTAATATATGATTTATATTGTGTACATTTCAAATTTCATTATGAAACCATGTAAGTTACAAAATAATAGGACGTGTGCTTTTTCAGGAGGTATGTTGTATTCAACTAAATCAAGACTTACAGTGGATTTTTACACCCAGTTTAGTATCAAAATACTTTAAATTCTAATACTGTCAAACAGATAAGACTCCCAGAATCTCATTGTAATATAGTAAAACATCTCTCTTCAAGATCAACTTTCTTAATGTGAAGCAAAGCTTATTTCTTTTCACTCTCCGAATTCTTCTAACATTAGAAAAGCACATGGAAATGTTATCTTTTGTAAAATAACAGAATCACTTTATTTTTATTAGTTTTTTTCCTCCATTTTTTATTTAAAGGAAACATTACCTTTATAAAATTTACATTATTTTGAAATTCCAGAACATTAATAATGGCATTGGAAATTTAACTAAAGCAAGTGTTGTATGCAGAATATTCTTGTTTCTATCTAAATCATAGGTATAGAATAATCAATTGTTAAAAATTATTTATTTGAAACAATCGACCTGACCAATGTTTTTCTCCTCCAGAGCAACCTTGAGTGGAAGCGAGCCTTCCTGGTCCTGGGCTTTGCTGTGTTGGCTGTGTTCAGCAGTGTTTATTTTGGCTTCCCGGGGTCAGGAGGACTATGCACACTGGTTATGGCTTTCCTTGCAGGCATGAGATGGAGTGACAAGAAGGTGAACTTCATTGTAATTTCATCTGCTCATGACGCTTTTTGATAAAAACTTTTCTTTTTAGCTCTTTCTTAGTGTTATGTTAACAAATCTTTTCATCATAAGAGCCATTTTCTATACATATACAAATATACCCACTGTCCATATGCATTTTTTGCCCATACATACCAATCAATCTATGACTTAATGTCTTTACTTAAAATATACTACAGCCATAAGATCATGATCCATCCCTATTCCTTTATAAACGTAGGGTGTTGTTCTAGATGGCTGGACCACATTTAATGTCACTCCTTCCTTCTTTTTTTTTTTTTTTTTTTTGGTTTTTCAAGACAGGGTTTCTCTCTGTGTTGCCCTGGCTGGCTGTCCTGGAACTCACTCTGTAGACCAGGCTGGCCTTGAACTCCCAAGTGCTGGGATTTAAGGCATGTACCACCACCAACCTGGTGTGACTAGTTTCTTACCAGTACATGCTATGTTGTACTTCTATGTCACAATAGCCATTACATCAACAAATGGACCCTTACATGTATCTTATTTCTTAGATGCTTAGACATTAACAATTCTAAAAGTCATTTTTACATGCTTCTAAGAAAAACATTGATAAACTGTGATATAAAATTTCAACTTGAAAAATGTTTTTTAGAATGCCTTTAACAAAATACTGTGTATGTTTTTAAGCTTCTCCATAGGGTAAATCTCTAACAATAGATGGCTTTAGGGAAGAGAATGCTTGCATATACATTTGGTCATGTAACTTGCTCACATAAACATTTGGTGGTATCAAATTGCCCTTTAATAGGCTGAGCCTGTTTCCATTTCTAGTAATATTTTGTGGAGAATCAGTTTCTGTCTTGGGGTATTTTACTAACCTGATAGGTGAAATGTGTGTCCTGTACTGATCTAATTTGTTTCCCCATGCATGAATCAGTCACCATTTCATAGGACAACTAAGCGATACAAAATAGCCTTATTTGAATTATATTTGATTACTTTCCTTAACTATGTATCAACAGGCAACCTAAAATTACTAGTTTTGATTTTATTTTATTTTATTTTATTTTATTGCACGCAGGGAAGCATGTCGTATTCTGCTCAATTTTACTGTGTAATTAAGGCTGGACTTGAACTTCCCATCTTCCTGTTTCACAGAGCTTGGAGTTCATCTGTTTGGCTTGATTCTCTGCATTTGGCTAGATTGGCTGCCTGGCCATGGAGCTCCTGGGATCCATCAATGCCTCTGATTTATTATTTACAGATCTCAAATCCCTATCCCAAATCAAATAATTCAATTTTTGGCAATTATAGCTGCACATAATAAAGTTTTCTTTGCTTCTCTTTTAGTCAGAGGTAGAAAAGATAATTGCAGTTGCCTGGAACATTTTCCAGCCCCTTCTGTTTGGCCTGATTGGAGCAGAGGTATCTATTGCATCTCTCAGACCAGATACTGTTGGTAAGAATTTCTCAATGGTTCTTGTGCTAAAACTCTATCTGTAAATCCTGATTTGGAATATCTTCACTAGGTATTTGTTGACCATTGTCACAGTTATGTAAAGAATCAGTTATGATCTAAGTATTTAGAGAAGTTGGCTATAAAATAATGCTTGTTATTTGAGTGAAAAATCAGGCCTTCCGCCCCCCAACATAAAGATGTTCATCTAGCCCCATCCTGACCAACAGCTAGAATTTTAAAGGTACTAGTTAATTCTGCACTGTGTTCTTATGGGTTGGAAGTGCTTGTTAATCATTCTTTATTCTACGTTCAGACAGCATCATGTTAAGATCGTCTTGATTGAGAGCACTGCACTTGCAATTAGCTAATTTGTAACTATCATTCCCTCTCCTTACACTCCCCATATTCTTCCACCCATACCAGGAATCCTATTCCTTGCTGCTCCCTACTGAATTGTAAATATTCCCCTTATTCATATCCATCTTTAAAACTGTCTATGTATAGATAGATAGGTGTAGTACTGAGTGTCTGGTGTGAACACAGGCACACCCACGGCCACGGCTCACATGCCAAAGTTCCGGATGCAGTTCTCACTTTCCACCTTGTTGGAGCAGACTCTTTTGTGTTGCCTCTGCCAAGCCGCACATGCCAGGCAAGCTGGCCTGAAAGCTTCTGGGCCGAAAGCATCTCTGCCTCCCACCCTGCCTGAGGAGTGCTGGCAATACAGATGCATGCCATGGTATCTGGCTTTTTGAGTGAGTTTCGAGTTTCCAGGATTGAACTTGGGACCTCAGCCTTGAGGGCCTACTGCTTTTATACCATCTCGCTGACCCTCTTTTATATCTGCTAATATGTTATCTACAGTTTCCTTCTCTTTAGAAGTTTCAAATGTCGCATTTCTTAAAATGATACCCTTTCTTTCTGATGAATAGCAGACCTGGGCGAAGACTAATGACTTGTTAAGTGAAATAAGACAGTCACAAAAATACCAATACCATATCACTCCACTTATATGAGCAATATGTAACTAGAAACCAGGCATAGTCATAATGGCATAAAGTAAAACTCTGGTTCCCAGGGCTGGGGGCTGAGGGAAATAGGAAATCGCTGTGTAATGGGTAGACAATTTAAATTTTGCAAATAAAAATGTTCTGGGGTTTGGCCACACAATAGTATGGATACACTTAACCCTACACTTAAAAGTGCTAAAGACGGAGGGTCACCAAGATGGCACAGCAGTTAAAGGTGATTGCTCCACAAGCCAGGATGCCTGAGTTTGAACCTGACAATCTACATAAAAGTAGAAGGAGAGAGCCAACTCTACAAGCTTGTCCTCTACATGACTGACCTCTAAATTCACATTGTGGTACACACAGACAGACTGATGGAAGGTTTTTAAATTGGTAAAAGCGGTACATGTGGTTAATATTATTAAAATTAAAATATACTGGGAAGTATAGATGGATGGGTGGATGGGTGGATGATTGATAGATAGATAGATAGATAGATAGATAGATAGATAGATAGACGCTTTCTCCATTTCACTTACCCTCTCACTGCCACATTGCCTCCCCTTCCCATCTTTAAACTTCTCAAAACCAGTGACAGCCTTTCAGGCATCCACATCCGCTCCATCCCCTTTCTCAGTACCCTGGAGCTTCTACTCCACTGAACAGCCAACTCATTGAAATTCCCTCACTAAACCCAGCCTTTCAATTGAACACTCATCCACGTTTGTTGTTTTGTCACTTTAAAACATTCCTCTGCTGAATTCTGCTGTTTTCTGCAGCCCTTTGAGAACCCATTTACACCCTCCGTAGCTTTAATACTGGCTTTACTCTATTTTTCTCCAACACTGCCCCCCGACCAGTGCTGTGCCTCTCACCAAGATCTCTGCTTTAACCCTGTCCACACCACTGACATCAGCTGTAACCAGTCCAAATCAACTTGTTCATATCTTGTGCCTCAGGCAGCAGATGCTTTTGAAAATCTACTAATCAGGGAACTGCTGTCTGACAGAGATCATTGCTCCTTCCATCAAGACCCTTAGTGCAGATTTGCAGCACAGCTTCTGATATGTGTGCACTCTGATCTTGAGAAATCCCTTTCCCCATCCTGGGCTGCAGTCTCCAGCAGTCTGGTTGGATCCTTCCTTCCATACTAGTTGATAAATACCTTTAGCAATATGTCTAGTCTTTTACTCTGTGAAGAATTCACAGCTACTTTAATGAAAAGACTGTTTTCCACTTATCTCTGCTTGCTGACTGGCTTATCTGAACTTGACTTAACCATACCACATGGATAAAGCAGATTTTTGTTCCTGACTTCTTCAAACTTTGAGGCTGATCAGGCTATAGAGATGTCTAACCACCACCTTGTTTAAATCTTGGCATGCATTATATCGTCAATTTTTATATTATTTTATTTTATGTGTTTTGCCTACATGGATCCATGTGCACCACATGTGTGCCTGGTATCTGAAGAGTTCAGAAGAAAGCACTGGATACCCTGGAACTGGAGTTACAGATAGTTGTGAGCCATCATGCCTGTGCTGGGAACCGAACCTGGGCTCTTAACCACTAAGCTATCTCTCCAGCTTCACCTTCTATCATTTAAAATAGTCATGTTAAAGCACTGGTCCTCAACCCTCCCAATGCTGGGACCCTTCAATATAGTTCCTCATGCTGTGGTGACCTCAACCATAAAATTAAATTCATTGCTACTTCATAACTGTAATTTTGCTACTGTTATGAGTTGTAAAAATCTGATATGTAGGATATCTGATATCTGACCCCTGTGAAAGGGTTACTCAACCTCCAAAGGAGTGGCGACATACATGTTGAGAACCACTGTGTTAAATAAACACATGGAAGAAAGTGTGGATAAAGTGTAAGGTATTGTGTCCATCCCAGTATACAATGTACTGACAGTGCCTTGATGGATCTCACACTATGAGGAAGGCAGAAGCATCAATATCTAACTTAAATCTCCTTTGGAAGAATGCAAATGTTTGGTTAATTCTGGTTTTATAAAGGAAAGATTTTAAACAATGTTATGATTGATCTTACTGATTTCTTGATCAATTATATGCAGCTATTTTTGTATTTAATGTTTTAACATTATTCCTATTGATAGTATTTTTGAAATGTAATTTTTCCCAACATCTCATTTTTTTCCAAAACCTGAATATTTTTTTCAGGTCTTTGTGTTGCAACCCTCGGCATTGCTGTACTGATACGAATTTTGACTACTTTCCTGATGGTGTGCTTTGCTGGTTTTAACATAAAAGAAAAGATCTTTATTTCTTTTGCCTGGCTTCCAAAGGCCACAGTCCAGGTAGGTAATGATTATAGAAAGGCCTATCATCTTAACTGTTACTTCTGTACGACACCTTAAAATACTGAGTAACAAGACTTGCCTAAGTTGGTGGAAGGAAACAGTTGGTAAGTGATAGAGATAAGAGTGAATAGTTGGTTGAAAAGTTGGGTCTGTGAACATTTTACACTAATCTACTCTAAAAGTTTCATTTATGATGACCCATTTCTTTGGGTCACCAGGGTGAAGGTTAAAAATCCAAAACCTCCAGTCATGGCCAGAGAAGAGGACTTGAACTTTTATCATTTAAAGCAGTAAGTCACCTGAAAGGAACTATTTTAACTCATCTCAAATCTCTCAGAAAGGGAGGGACAGAGAGAGGTAGGGACAGAGAGACGGAGGGAGAGAGGGAGGGAAGGAGGAAGGGAGGGAGGGAAGTAGGAAGGAGGGAGTGAGCATGGCTCATCTTAATGTTTGGAAATCTTTCAGGAGCCATATAATTGATGATAAATTACATTCGTCCAGATCTTTATACATAATTAAAGAAAGAGTAATTGAAAAGGAATTAAGATGTTTTTGTTTTGTTTTGTTTTGTTTTTCTGTGGCCGGGTTTCTCTGTAGCCCTGGCTGCGCTGAAACTCTTCCTAAAGACCAGGCTGGCCTTGAACTCAGAGGTCTGTCTGCTTCTGCCTCCTGAGTGCTGGGATTAAAGGTGTGCGCCATTATGCCCAGCCTGAAAAAGAATTTAGAAATGCTTTACAGTGGTTACCCTTCATCCATGCTTCCACTTATTGTGGATTCTTTCACCCATGGTCTTTGTGGATTCTGGCAGCCATGGCCTAAAAATATTAAGTGGGAAAATGACAGAAATAAGCAGTTAAGTTTTAAGTGCATGCCATTTTGAGTACCACAGTGAAATGTTGCTTGCTCCATCATGTTTTGACTGCCATGGGATATGAGTGTGCCTTTGTCCACCCTGGCTACCTTATAGACGCTGTTAATCATTTCATAGTTGTCTTATCTATCACATTGACTATTGGAGTATCCTAGTGCTGTGCTCAAGTGATCATTATTTTACTTAATAATAGTGCCAAAGGGCAAGAGTTGTGATTATAGCAATTTGCACATGCCAAAGAGAAGTCATGAGGTTGTTTCCTTAAAGTTAACAGGTAGAAGTTCTTAATAAGGTAAAAGCAAAATATTGAAAATTTGATGCTATCCATGTTTTCATTGATCTACTTGGGACCTTGTAAATATCACTCATGGTTAGAGAGATGTAGCCTGAATTCTAACTGTTCTTAATAATAAAAACTCAGAGTCAAGTATCAGGGGGTGAAAGCTGAAGGATCAGAGAAGCAGAGCAACCAGCCACTAGAGTTCTTACCTCTACCAATGCTCAGACCAAAGGGGCAATCCTGTCCTCAGACTGCCTCCCCACACTGCTATGAGCGCCTGTCTCCTACTGCCTTATATTCCCCTCTCTGCCCAGCCATAGCCTTTCTGTTTCCACCTCCTCAATGCTGGGATTAAAGGCATGTGACTCCTAAATACTGGGATTAAAGGTGTGAGCCACCACTGCTTGGCTCTTTTTCTCTTTTAGACTGGATCAACTTCATGTAGCTCAGGGGGGCCTTGAACTGTCTCCCGAGTGCTGCAATTAAAGGTGTGTGCCACCACAGCCTGGCCTCTAGGGCTAACTAGTGTGGCTAGCTCTCCACTCTGATCTCCAGGCAAGCTTTATTTGTTAGATTATAAACAAAATATCACCACAGGAGAAGACTCTTGTATTGATTTCCTAAATGAATGGTTGGTAGTAAGTATTCACAGCTAGCTGGACCTCATGACAATAACTCAGTCACTTAAACCAAAATGTGTACATTCAAATGCAAGAGTAATAAAGAAAGCAGGTACAGGTAATCACTGGATGTTGTTGAGCATTCGTTTATTAGGATATCTGGAAATGTTAATTAAATTAGAATTGTATAGTTTATAATTTCTTACCAATAGTGTAGCTCTATGATTGTACTGTCTATTTTCAAACTAATTATATTACATAACTTAAGCATCCTATAGATGGTTTTGTAGTTCTTGGAGTAGGCAGACTTTTACTGGCATGCAATGAAATCAGATATGATGTTAATTTGGGGGGGTTGTGAGGACGCATACACACCGTGATTACATTCTTAGGCTTGTATGGCTATGGACAGGGGTTCTATTCATTCCAGAGATTCTTTTAAAATCAAGCTTTCCAAGATATCTAAGACATAAAGGCAAAGAAGAGTAGTGTAGAAAATGGAATAATTTGCCTGACACAGTAGCTCCAGCTTCCACACTACTAGTAACATTAGTATGTAGATATCAAAATAATGATGTCATCTTTTTTAAATGTTAAATTGAAGGCTGATACCCTTTACCATTAAACAATTTTCAAAATAAGGATAAATTATATATATATAAATTATATATGTATGTATAGGATTGTTGAGTACAGTATGTCTTTTGGAGGCAAACACAGACATTCCTGAATATTCTCCAGGAATGAGTTTGAAGATCCTCTAGAGATACCAAATCTATAGACACTCAAGATATTATATAAAAGCTTATTGTCTGCATCTACCTTAAGCATATCTCCTACACTTTTTCAATCATCTCTTAATTACTTGTCATAGCTAATACAATGTAAGTAGTTCTTGTATTATTTAGAGAGTAAGGATGAGAAAAAGTCTGTACATGTTCATACAGATGCAAATTTCTGAGCTACGGTTAGTTGGATTTACAGATAAAGAGTAGCTATAGAATGAGTATATTATCATGTATGGAATTTTAGGTTTTTTTCTGTTGGCATTACATAAAAAACAAGGAGGTGCTGTGTGTATACAAATATATATACATATATACAAAAATATATGTACTTCTTAATACTTTATGATCTATCATAGGATACATGTATATATATTTAAAGATTTTTTTAAAATAGCATATTGGCATGCACACATGCCCTAAAACATACATATACATATCTACAAAACAGAACTGAAAGAAAAATGTATATTGCAATGCAACAAGTTGCCAAAAATAAATCATAAAATGTTCAGTTACTTATTACACAGGGTAAGCCATAAAAACAGAGAGCCTGACAAGTAATAAAAGAACTGAATGAGCTAGACTTTCTTTTTTTTTAATTTCCAGAAGTCTAGTATGGACATTCCAGAGCTGACAGGGTGGCTGTCACTCGCAACATGTGCCTCTTGCCCTAGGTTCAACCTGTGTTGCCATTTTCTTCCAGTGGGAAGGAGGCGGTTCATGTATTCATTCTGTATTGGGTAATGATCCATGTCAGTGTTTCATCTCCACCGATTACTCAATGGACAGAACATAGATACACAGTTACCCTAGTTACTAAAGACACTAGAAACATGAAATCTCTGTTTTGTCAACAATGTGACAGCTGAAACCCAGGAGCTCTGGGATAGAACAAAGGGGCATTCAGATACCTATGGGCACCTAGATTCTGTCATTATGTGACCGATACATATTTTCTCTTTTATTCTATTATATTAGAAGCAAACATTGCTCTTCACTTGGGATAATGAATTAACCCGATGGATTAATGTACCTTTCTCTGGGAGAACTAATAATACTGCATTTTTGCCTGTAAGAAAAAATAAGAATTTTCATAATTCGTTCCAATAGATACATATTAAATAAAACATTTCACCAACTCTTGGGGAAAAGAATTCACCAAATAACTAATAAATTTAACATCAGTTTGAAAGCCTCTACCATTCTCATGTTTCATACTGTTTGAGAATTAGTGTATGATCCAGAGAAAGCATACTGATTTAAAATATCACCCACTTCTAGTAAATATAACTACCCCTTTAAGCTTTTTATTTATTAAAGTGATGAGAACAGGTTCCAGACTTGAACTTAGCCATAAGACCAAGACATGATAAGTGTTTTCTTTATTAATACAAATTCTCAGTTCAAATATAAAACAAACAGTAACTTCCATCTTTTGTAAGAGGAATTTATCATGCACAACAATATTTGGTTAACACTGTGGGTCTGTTTTCCCCTAATATTTTGAAATGTACAGATCATGAGCGTGCATGATCCATGTGTCCCTGTCGCATAAGGAGATGCTACTCTCCATGTAAGGAAGGGCAGGGAGACTTTGTAGATAAAATAACTTCAGTACACTTTGAAAGAAGAAATAATTTGGATTAATTGAGCAAAAGGAAAAGCTTGTCTTTTGTTTCCAACCTTGTGCTAAAACTTTCATAGGCTGCCATCGGGTCTGTGGCTCTGGACACGGCCCGATCCCATGGAGAGAAGCAGCTAGAAAAATATGGGATGGATGTGTTGACGGTGGCATTTTTGGCCATCCTCATCACAGCACCAATTGGAAGCCTACTGATTGGTTTGCTGGGTCCCAGACTTCTTCAGAAATTTGAACATGAAAATGAAGGGGAAGTTCAAGGAGAGACTTCTGCACACGTTCAGAGGTAAGGAAAGGAAAATGCTGAGTGCTGTTTCCAGAAGCTAACTGTATCAGGACGGAAATGGAAATATATGGTGTTGAGGTTCTAAATGTATTAGGACCAAACAATGTGCAGTGAAGAAGCAAAGGAAAGACCGAGATCCACACCCCCACCATTCCCTGGACCTTGCTCTCAATTCCTGCTAAATGTCTATTGCATGATTGGTGGGCACCAGTCTCATGCCGTGAATCAATTTTGTTGGTTCCTCTTCCTTCCTTCCTTCCTTCCTTCCTTTTCTTACGCTAAACTGCAGTCACTCAACAGTTTCGTCTTCACTGTCCTGCTGCTCTGCTCTGTCCTCAGCCTGTTTGCCTCGCTGCATTTCTGTGAGTGTCGGAACTGATTGGTCTTGCTAATGTTTTAAAGTAAATGAAGAACCTTCATTGACACTAGGCTGTAACCCCTTCATGTGTCAAAAGACAAGATGGACAGATGGGGTGGCAGGGAGGGGAGAAAGACAAGGAGAGAGGGAGGAAGGAAAGAAGGGAGGATGGGAGGATGGGAGGGCGGGAGGGAGATCTCGGACGGAGGGAGGGAGGTCACCTATCGTAGCTCACAACTGGAATCCCAGCACTCTAGAAACTCAGGAAGATTTCTGTGAGTCCATGACCCACCTGAGCTACATTCAGAGTTCTAGGCCAGCCAGGGATATTCTCAAAATCACAAACACAAAGCAGAAATCTTCATCACCTAGCTGCCTACTAATGGTTAATTTAGTCTTCCTCCATAAAGATGTCTTGATGCAATCTCTATGTCTGTTTGCTGTGACTGACATCTCCTCCAGGGGACAGCATTCACTTTGAATTGTTTGCTGGCCCCATGTTGGTGTTAGTGATTGGGGCACTATACACAGATTTAATGAGGAAAAGCTAAGCTCTTAACAGAAAATAGAATTTTACTTCACTTTCTTGGCTGTTTGATTAATGCTGACATGGGCTCTCTGCTCATGGGACTTCTCTAAGCCTTGTGTCTAGCTGTCATGCAGCTCTGCCATACCCTAGTTCAGGACAGAGGTTAAAGATAGATCTGCACCACTTGTCCATCCAAGGCCTGAGGAAGCAGGAAAAAGGATGGAAACTGTGTCATTTATATTCTTTTGAGACAAGGGCTCAGTATATCGTCCAAGCTGGCCTGGAATTTGTGATCATCCTGGGGCTCTGAAGTGCTGGGATTATGGGTGTGCTCTGCCATATATACCCTAAATCAGTTTATTTCTAGGGAATTGATGTGGATATTGGACACAGCTTTCCTCTCCCTTGTATTGATGATTGTATCAACTACAATGAGATGGAAAAGAGTCTCTGGCTTGCCTCCTGGTAAGTCTACAAGGAACAAAAGACTTGGAGGCCAGAGATGTCATTACATTGAGTGCTACCACCACTTAACATCGTATCTTACTAGACACAGTGACTTATTTCTATAACTGAGTCAGGAGGCTTGCCTTCAAGTTCAAGGCCAGCCTGGGCAACAGAATAAGTGCTAGGCAAGCCTGGCTACACATAGAGAGCATATCTCAAAACAGCTTCTAATGGACTAGGGAGATAGCCCCATCACTAAAGTGTTTGCTTTTCTGGGATGTGGACCTCAGCACCAAAAAATACTGGTAAAAAAAAATATGGGTGTAGCAATGTAGGCCTTTAATTCTAGTGCGGTGGGATGTGGGAGTTGCAGAGTGGGCAGAGATAAATAAATCCCGGGGCAACCAGTCAAACCAATCAATGAACACCAGGTTTAATGAGCGCTTCTGTCTCGAAAACTCAGTAGAGAGTAATAGAGTAAAATACTCAACATTGACCTCCAGTCTCCACACAACCATGCAGGACACATATACAAATACACATACAGAGGCATAGGCACACACACACACACACACACAAACACGCAAACGCACACGCACACACACACAGCAAAACTGTATTTACAAGAGCCCTTGGAAAATGATACCTTATTTCTCAAGAAGTTCTAATATTATAACATGCCAGAAGAGAAGGAATGAGGGGAAAGACCTACCTGCATAGATTGTAATTTATCCCACATTCCAATACCCATTGTATATCACCCATTAGTTCCTCGTCATTCTAGGTCACCTGTTGTTTAGTGAGTAACCATGTTCAAAGACAGTTTTAGGTTTCGTGGTGCTATACACATACCTCAGGAGTTTCTTTTTTACCTTTCATACCCAAGGTAATTTTTTTCACCTAGAGTTCAAGGTGTATTTTAATCTTGCAGTATATTGGACATATGTGGTAAGTAGGTGAATTGTGACAGTTCTAACCCCATCCTGTGAACTGCAAAGGGGGCCATGCATGGTAGCTCCTATCTGTAGTCCCAGCACTGTCTGCTCTTCTCTTATCGACTACTGTTGTAACCTGTTCTCCTGTGACATTAGATTCAAAACTATGGTTCTAACTGGTTCATTTAGATACCAAAAAATTGTTCTGTGGCATAGTGTTTTGTATTTCCTGAATGCTGTGCTCACAGTGTAGACTGGATTTATACCAAAGGTTGGATATGTGGTAAAGGCTGAAGTAAACATCATTGGTTAGGTGCACTTTGGTGGTTACCGTAAACCTAATACCCATTTGTTCATCTAATTTTTCAGACTCTGAAACTACATCTGGTCAACAAATAGAGTTATTTCTGGGTACCAGTAGGAAATTAACTCCAGACCCCCCCTCAGATACTAAGATCAATGGATGCTAAAGTTCTTTATATAGAATACTGCATTTACAACTGGCCCAATATCACATTTTTTTTTTTTAACACACAGTGTACTAACTCGTGTCAAGGCTGAATCTGAGGCTTTGTGAGAATTCCAAAACTCCACTTTCTGATGAGCCCTTCATCTTCCCTAAAGCATTTACATCTCTAAGAGTCCATCCCTTCTGGTGCACAGAACAGTGTTCTGCAAAAGGCCCATCTTCCCAGCTCTTCCCCAAGATCATTGTCCTTCCTTCAGGAACTACCAGTTCAAGAAGAACAAAGATTTGCTTGACACCATTTCAACGACCTTATGCAATCCTTCTTAAAAAATTCTCTTAAGCCAGGCAGTGGTAGTTCATGCCTTTAATTCCAGCACTCAGGAGGCAGAGGCAGGCAGATTTCTGTGAGTTCGAGACCAGCCTGGTCTACAGAGCTAGTTCCAGGACAGGCTCCAAAGCTACAGAAAAACAGTCTTGAAAAATCAGAAAAAAAGAAGTTCTTTTATTGCATTTATTTAGTGTGTGTGTGTGTGTGTGTGTGTGTGTGTGTGTGTGTGTGTGTAGGTAGGATTCGTTGTGCCATGGAAGGTATTTGGAAGTCAGAGGACAACTGACAGGAGCTGGGTCTCTCCTTTCACCACGTGAAGGATAGAATTCAAGTTGGTAGTTTTGTGACGAGTACCTTTAACTGCTGAGCTATCTCGCTGGCTCTGATTTTTTAAAACAAGGGAGAAAACAACTTCCAACCATTATACACATGTCCCAATCATGCTGAAGGTGGAAAGGTGTTTTAATGAACAAGAAAAGCTCTCATTGTCACTGAAAACAAATGGTTGCAATTTGAATTAGACCTATTGGTTGGCTTTTCATAGATGTCACCACCTACCTGAAAAAAAGAAAATCAACTTACAAAGAAGACATTTTAACTTGCAATTTTAAAGGCTTCAGCCCACAGCAGTTAACTCTGTTGTTTTTGAGCCTGGGCTAGAGGAGAGCAGGTGGCATGGAGTGTGTGATAGTGCAAAGCTGCTCACCTCATTCCGGGAATCAAAAAGAAAGAAGAATGAGCCTGGGTTCCCAGACCCCTTCAAAGGCTCCTCCCCAGGGAACTAACACCTCCCTCCAGGTGTTATAGCTTCCCATCTCGAGGTAG